GCAAGCAAGAAAAAAGCTTCTAAACTGTGGTAATGATTGTACGGTTCTTTTTAATAGGACTGAACTGTTGAATTGTATGAGATGAGAATTATGTCAATAAAACTGCCAAAAAAAGAAGGGAAAAAGTAAAAATGTGTTATCAATCCATGATTTTAAAAAAATAAAATAGCTGCCTTCTCATATCTCTTATTTTTGTGATTTATTGTTTTCCTTAAAGCATGTGAAAAAAGTCCAGCTTAATACTGATTTGTAACCAGAAAACCCCCAAACCAAACCAAACCAAACCAAAACCAAACTAAAACCCCTGCATCAAGTCGGTCCCAACTCGTAGTGACTCAACAGGACAGAACAGAACTGCTCCTTTGGGTCTCAGAGAGTTCAGATCTTTACAGGAGTGGCCACATTCATCTTTCTCCTACGGAGCTGCTGTGGCCTCGAACGACTGACCTTGTGTGTAGCAGCTCAGTGTGGCCTACTACACCACCAGGGCTCCTGGTAACCAGAAGGGAGAGACACATTTTAATTGCATTTAAAAATAATTGTGAATATGACCTTTGATACTATGGCAAAGCTTGGAAGTGGTAGCTTTTAGGATTCGTTGCAATGCAGAATCTGAAAGAGCACTAATGGACTGTTTGTAGTGTTATGTCCAATTCCATTCATGTGTCTTGTGCTTTGAAAATTAACCCAGGCACAATTCAGTAACATTGTGTGCTGGCTATTCAGAAAAAATTGGTCTGCTGATTTATGCAGATCTTCCACATTTTGACATATTTTACTACACAATATAAAAAAACTCCGCAATTTAAAATATCACTACTAAGCTCATCAGGGAACTCTTAGCGTGTTGTTGGGAAGCTGTCAAATTCAATGATGGAAGGCTTCCTAATTGACAAGTTTTCTGAAAATCCTACTTTTCAGACTGGAAGGCTTGAATTTTATCACAGGCTACAATACTGTCAGTGGTTACCCTTGAAGTGAAGTCGCATTTTACTCATTTTTTGAAAAAAATCCATGCCAAAAACCAGGTCTGAAGTTTGCCAGTCAACCTTTTAAATAAAGGGTGTTGCCTGAAAAAGTGGCCCCAAGAACTTCACACGTACTTTAAAAAAAGAGATAATTACCATGTTTGTCTTGAAAGAGCAGTGAGTTATCCATACTCTGCGCTCCATCACACATAGCATTAAAATGCTATATATTTAAGGGTCAAGATTCATGGCTCCATCTAGAATATTTTAAAGTAAAACTGGCTTAAGAAACGAATCACAATGAGTGTATTGTTATGAATGTGCCCCTGCCTTGATTCGCCCCACGGCACCATAAGTGCTAATGTCAATAACAGTGAAAAAGGCAAACAACATTTTGATGACGGTCCTCACTAGCTGCCAGCTTGTCAGATTTTTCTGTCTCGTAAGTCTTAGTTTAGAACTTGTGCTGACACCCATCCGCCGTGGGTGACCCTGCTCGTATTTGAAACATTGGAAACAGCACAGCTGGTATTTGAAACACGGAAACACTGGAAACAGCGCAGCAATACACGAGCCAACAGGTGGGTGGGTGGTGGTGCTGGCAGAGAATGTAGACTCTACTCTGAACTGCCAAAAGAACGAATCGATCTCGAAGAAATACAGCCAGAATATTCGCTGAGTGAGATTTCAACGGACTTATTTTAGAGTTGCCATCAGGAAAGGATATTGTATTTGGTGTAGAGCTAAGGAAACCAAGGGAAACATTCAATGCCACAATAGTCACAACAATTGATGCAGACATAGCAATGACTGTGAAAATGGCACAGGACGGAGCAACATTTTGGTAGCTTATTTATAAAGTTGCCATGAGCCTCCTCAATGGCAGTGAATGACAGCATCATTAACTGGGGCAGCACATTTTTTCCTCACAGGTTCTCTGAAAGGATGTCAGAAGCCCCGAGGTCCATAGATTTCACTTTTAAAAACCACTCCTGTAGTTTAAACTCACTTTTGGAGTAACTCACATGTTTATAATAAACTCCTTCTTTTCTTAGATCAGTCAGCGTTGGTTTCTATTGCTTATGACCAGTGTCTCATGTGAAATAAATAGTCTTTGCTGGATGATTGAATCAACATGTTTAAGGAATTCTGTGGATGTTGTGAATTGTTGTTGAGTTGGTGACTCGGGGTGACAAAGGAACAAAAACATTCCCAGACCCAGTGCCATTTTTCTGAGCATAGGTATGTTCATGTCCGTTGTTGTGGAGAGTGGTGTGTTGACCCATTCCCTGGAGGGCTTCCCAAATGTTCACCGAGCTTCTCCTTTGCCAAACCATGTCCTTTTTCTGACAACAGGAAAGAATTGGAATCTAGGGCAGTTTCTAAGTCAGTCCTTTGTTGTGATGGTTTGCACAGCAAATAAGGAGAGAGAACACAAGATTCTGAAGTTTCACTGAACCAAAGTATCAAACACTTAAGTTTTGTATATTCCTAGAGTTAAGTCAGTGCAAGTCTACATTGTAGCAAAAGAAGAAAACGTACACTGTCTCAGGTCCTCAGTGCTCTGGTGACACAGAAATGCAAGTGGGTAGCATTAACAAATAGACATAGTTCTCACAGTGCAGGAGACTGTTCAGATTGCTGTGTGCAACTGAGCCCAACTCACAGAGACACGGTATGTCAAAGCAACCCCACAGCCATCACGTCCACACCGACCCTCAAAGACAGGTAGAGCCGCCTGACAGGGTGGGTTTGCAAGACGGCAACTCTATAGAGAAGTCGAAAGCCACACCTTAAGGCTCTCAGTGTGCTTCCTAGCCTGCCAGGAAGGTCCTCTGTGCCTCCCACAGTTCCCCAACTTCTGACCTCCCATGGGAACCTCATTGCTCCCTGGCATCTGAAGCTTCAGCCTGGCAAGGACACGTGAAGCATGAATGCCGAAATTCACACCCTAACCAAGTGCATAAGTAGAGAGGCAAAATGCCAACAAATGTGAAGCCATAAGAAAATGATTGGAAAGCGATGTTGAAATGCCCAAGAGGACTGCAGAAAGTTCCTGGGAAACAATGAAAAGCTAATGGAGTTCCCACGAACTTTTGGAATCCCCTTCGTATGCAATGCATAAGGCATCGAAAACTTCAGTTTACCTGCAAGCAGCGGTGGCATTAGGGTGGAGTCATCTGTCATCTCTGAGCCACGTGCATGGGTGGGGCAGGACATAGGGAACAGCCTCCCTGCTGGTTCTGTGGAGCGGTGCCAGGCTTGCCGGACCTACAGCTCGGGTCACCTCTCTTTGACCAAGCCGTTCTTCCGCCCGAGGGTGGGCACCAAGGTTCACCTACCTGCACCCTCACTGAAGAGGACAGGTGGTTTTGATGAGTTGCCACACTACGAGATGGGGGACACTGACCTTAGTGATGCCCCAGCCTTGTAGTCCCCATCCTTGCAGCACCGGCCTTAAACGCTGCCGCCACAGCCCAGGCGGCATTTGGGTGTCACTGTTTCTGACCGTGTGATCCAACCCCTGCAATGATGCCAGTGCCCGAAGGCCTCGATTTCCCCATCTGTAAAACGGCGTTTCTTTTCTCTTGAGGAGTCCTGGTGGCGTAGTGGATTACACATTACGCTGACCTTAAGGTCAACAGTTTGAAACTGGGAGCCGCTCGGTGTGCGAATGATGAGGCTTTCTATTCCCGATCTCTACAGCCTGGAAAACCCACAGCGGCACTTCGACTATGTCTTAATGGGTCACCATGAGTCAGGCAGAATCGACTCATGGAGTGAGTGTTTTGTTGTTGTTTTTCTTTTCCCTTCAGCTGCGTTTAACCTCCAGGTCCCTTGGTTTGAGATGGCGCGACCTGGCTCTCCATCAATTTACACGTGCATAACCGAAAGAGGTGCCTCCCTCCTGGGTGGGGATCGGCCGGGGAGGTCTCGGTTAAGGGGAGTGGACAGCCCGGTAGGCCTCGGCTCAGGAGAGTGGACGGCCGGGGAGGTCTTGGTTCAGGAGAGGGGACGGCCCGGGGAGGTCTGGGTTCAGGAAAGTGGACGGTCGGGGAGGTCTCAGTTCAGGAGAGTGGATGGTCGGGGAGGTCTCGGTTCAGGA